TCGTAGTAAACCCATGTAATGCGCTCGTAAAGGCCTGTCATACCATATGTTGCCCGGGTGGCAGGAAGTCTATTAAATTTTGTTTGATAGCCCCATCTGCACGAGCGATAACTTGATGAAGGAACCGCCAATTTTTATATGCGCGTATGACAGCAAAGCTCATTTCGAGGCCGTTCAATTAATATGCAAGCGTATGCCAGACGTTGATATTTTTTAATTAAATGAGCAAATGCTGTCATTTCTTTCTTGAGAGCGTTAAAAGTACTTATTAATATGGCATACGCTCCTTATTTATTTCTTTTTTGAGATTATAGGAGACCTATTTTAGTGACCACAACGTTAAAGACAGGCGTTCATTGGCTCCTTCGAAGCTCTTCAACAGTCAACAGACGAATGAGAAATGCATAAACTTCCGTCAAAACCGTTCTGTCTAACTGTCAGTTTGGTTTGTTGACCCTTTTCTCCCTTCTGTCCCAGAACGAAGTGAATATTTAATGCATTTGTTTCGAGTTGGCCTATGGCACTGGGGTTTTTCTTTCTTTTTTTGTACATTTACTGTTGTATAAAAGTGGGATATTTCTTTGCTGTTTGTGCTTTTTATAAGCCACTCTCATCTTTTCTTAGCCGGCTCATCGCTGCTCTTGGCTACGCCTTGCATTGCCGTTAGCCTTCCGCTTTCAGCCATCCGTCAGTCTGGTAGTAAGACGCATTAATTCATTTTAGTTGAACATTATTAAAAACTTTTCCACCACAAAGCTGAGCGAAAGTTCAGCTAGCTAGCGCGCACCTCGCCTTTGCGGTTGAGTGCGAGTGTGGTGCCAGTGTGGTGCAAGTGTGGTGCAGGTGGCGTTGGTAAAAGTTGCACACTAATTAAGCGCTAATAACATTTTAGCACAGTTTGCCGAGAACTTTTAGCCCGTGCATGCAAATATGATCAACCGCACAAAAGGGCAGGGCAAGCCAGAGCCAGAGAGCATACAAATCAGCATACAGAATTGAGCTGGAGGGCTGGTCAGTGGGCGCTTGGCCAGGCTCCGCAATCAATTTCACACACAGACAAGTTAAAAACATTTTAATTTCCATTTGGCCAGAATACCAGGCTGGCCAAATTGCAGCGATTGCCATCAAATCCCAGGGCGCTGGAATTTTCTCGGCATTTTTAGGCAGCTGCCAACTGTCACACAGGTGGGCGTGGGCGGGACACGGAACAGGTTGTGGCCCCTGGCGATCTCTCTATGAAAATACCAGAGGTGGAAAGCTGAGAAATGCTGCTGCCAGCTCGCATTCAGTTGGGTCTGCTGAGCTGCCAGAAGCTGTGTAGCTGTGTAGCTGTGGAGCTGTGTGCTGGTGTCACTGCACTTTACATGTGATGTGAGCAGATAGTAAGTCCCCAACTGGTCATGGGGTTAGTTTTCTTGTTCGCCATATCCTTGGGCTGCGCAAAGCTTGTGTTGCAACTTCCAAGTTGCAAGTTGGTGCCTTGAGTAATGTTGCTTTGCAGCCATGTGATTTGGCTTCGATGCTGAAGCAGAGTAGGAGTTTGAGTTGATTTATGACCAAGCCAAGGAAATTTCACTTGACATAATCTTGGGCAATTATCTTGAATATGGCACCCCAGTGACTTCTGGGCAGAATCGAATTGAATTCTAATTTTACAAGACGGCAACTGGAGTACAATTAAACTAAAAGGGGGGGCTAACGAGGTCAGTTATTCCCTTCCCTCTCTGGTTCTAACTTTGTCCTGTCGTGTCCTGCCTCGTCTGCTAAGGCAAATAAACGCTTATTTGCACACTAATTGCACCTGCGACGTGCTTTGTTATTATAAAATTCTATATTTACACAAGCGCCGGTCGTGCCTTGTCTCCAGCTCTTGTTTTCGTTTTGCTATTGTCACAATATTTGTCTTTGTTAGTGCTGAAAGGCTTTTTGGGCTTCTGTTCTGCTGAATACATTTTTCAAAGTCTTCAAAACCATCGTGGAGTATGATTAACCATGCAGATGCCGCTGCTGCTGTAGCCACTGGTCCTGCTGCTGCTGCTGCTGCTCCTGCGGTTGCTGCGTGCTCGAAGCTTAATTATGCGCAAGGTTAGCCTGTCTTTGCTCCAGCCGTGCCACACCACTCCAAGCGCTGGCACATACTCGTGCTCGCACTCGTACTCGTACTCGAACTCGATGCCTCGTGTGCATCCTTGACCCAGGATGCGTGCTGTGTGCAGTGGCAGCGACAGCGACAGTGGCAACAGTAGCTAAATTATGGTCATTAAAAAGCTTTCAGCTCGTGGACATATCAAATGACATTAAAACATGTGTGCAAATGCACGGATTCAAATTGGTTTGACCTCTGGCCTTAAGCGGCTGCAAATGCGAGTGCATGCCACGCGTGCTGGTTAGATGATTGAAGCAGCTGCAGATTGGCGGCGGGAACAATTTGACTTTTGACCTCTTTTCAGGTCGTATCCGGGTGCACTTTCCGGCGCTATCTACCCGGCAATTAGGAAAAGTTAGCTGCATTTGCATTCGAGCTAAAACAGCTTCGTCCAAGTTGCGTTGCGTTAACCTTCGGGGACTTACGTGTGTCCAAATGGAACGGAAAAGGCGACTGGGGATCGAAATGTTTAAGACTTCTGTTACTGCTGCCGATGCTGCTGCTGCTGCTGCATTTCAAGTAGGTAAGAATGAGAAGGCAGACTGGTAAAAGCGCAAAAGCCCCTCCCCAGACTCCATGACTCTACGACTCTTTCTTGTCCGGCAAGCGGAGCAGGGGGCTTTTGTAATATGCGCTCCAGTCGCTGGAACTTTTGTCAACTTGAAATCAAAGGGGACGGCCCAGGAAACTGAAAAGTTTCGAGTTTTCTGCTAAAGTTACTAGCAGAAAACCATTAAAGGCTCACGTAGTCAAAGTCAAAAGACAAATTTGCATTGGTACAGTTCTTCTTTTTCCCATTTTCGCTTTGGTCTGTTCTACTTTTTCGGCTTAAAGGTACAAAGCATCCGCATGAAAATTCCCTTTAAGCACGCCGTGCAATTTGCAGTTATTCAGTTCTCAATTTTTTTAAGATTTTCCATTTAACGGCTTTGTTTGTCGTGCATTCAGTCGAAATTGTTTGCACTTAGCTGCGTTTGCTTTGAGCGCACAATTAAAATGCAATTTGGAAGAGGAGATGGGGGACACAAAGGCACAAACAATGAACCCCAAAGCTAAGCCAAATGAAAAACCCTCTTCTCAGGAGGAATTTCGACACCTGCTCCAATGGGCATGAACAAATAATTCGCCTGGAAATCCCGTTGAGTGCCCCGAACAAATGGCGCATTTAATGGGGATTTGGAATGCAACTGAAATGCCCCTCGCAGTTCTCCTCGGTCTGGTCTCTTGTGTATACTTTACAAAGCGACCGCATAACTGCTTCCCTTTATGATAAACATCATCAGTAGGATAATGGCCGACAATTTCCGAGTTGACGAATTCACTGCTGCTGCTTCTGTTGTTTGGCAATGAGGCGAGAAATGCCGACCCGGCAATCGTCAAACTGCCGTGGCCCCTTCTGACCGAAAAACCAATTAATTGCAAACAAATTTTTTCCGGCGGGTTCCAAGAGCTGCCGACAACAGCAGCATTTGCCATTTAACCCAATCAATTTTGTTCTTTTTTGATTTGGTTGGTTTTTCTTTGTTTTTGTTTTTTTTGGCCAATTCTCGAACCGGGATGTTCCAATGTTTTTGTCACGTGCTGCAGCTGCTGCCAATGCTTCCAGCCCAGCTGCTGGAGAATGTAAATTGAGTTGCAACAATTTGTTTGTTTGTTTTTCAGCACGTGTGACTGCGACAATTGTTTATGATATGGCCGTGACCCAAAAAAAAAGCATAAAAGCAGTGGATATATATATATTTTTTTTAATATTGCCACTGGAATTGATTGTTCGATATTTAATATTTATTTTTTGTGCATATGTAAATAGTGATTTAAAAAAAAGGAAATATCTGCTTAAGTATTGTTAACAAACGGCGGCAATTATCATGGGCCAACGTGGTGGACAAATGATGGAAACAGGGCTGCAACGGAATGATCTGCATAGCTGCCCTGAAATTACAACATTGCTATTTTTGCTATTAATATAGTTACTTTTCTGTGCCTCGATCGCTGCGATAAGTTCCTAAAAGCTTAATAACTCTAGGCTGGCGATGCGTATACTTAACGCAAGCATGCAAACCACTGCTTAGTTCCACTGCTTGCCTCTGTGAAGCCGAACTGCTTGCTACTGTTAAACTCAAGCAGTTAACAGCAGTACGCACATGGACGCATGCCAGCCGGCGAAGCTAAAAATACTCAGCTCGATAAATTAATAAATGCATGAGAATTGGATCAAAAAATTGCCTAAAATAAAATAAAAATCCACTTTGAACTGGATATTTATGCAATTTTCTTATTTGTACAATACTATTCACACATTTCACAAGCAATTTGCACCTTGTATTGGGAACCGAGTACATTTTTTGCTGCACCACGGCCTCAGAACTGTCGTGTTTTCGGCAAACTGTTAATTTTTGTGGTAGGGCGTGCGTGGAGATACAATTGATACTAAACATTTACCACAAATCTCGAAAATTTAATTTAGTAACCGAAACATATGACTATTTTGGTATCTGTTGAATGCCTAAATTTATCTTTACAAGCGCCACATATTCCGCCTAATCAAACGATAAGCTTTATGCCGATCCATATCAGTTCTAATCACAGTCAAGGTTCTTCTTGCTCTTGCTCTGGCTCTTGCTCTTCCTCGGGCTCTGGGTAACGCTGTGGCTGTGGCATTATTGTGTGCCTCAATTGAAGTTCACTTAATGTGGCAGCATTTCCTACACACGCGCTCCACCGATCCACCCAGTCCCAGAGCGGCTGAGCCGATCGGGTATTAGCATGCCTCGGCATTAGCTTGGGACTGCTGCTGGTGCTGCTTTTGAGTTAAGCTGCTGGCTGAGAAAGACTGGCAAATTCAGTCCGCTGTGAACAACCGGCGACCACACACCTGCCCACGCCATTACCTCAGTGGCAAGCAGTGCAATTGAACGGCTTTATCAGAAGTCGAGAGCAAGAAGTTGATAAGTTTAAAGACGCGTTTCCAAACTTTCTTCGGTGCGTAAAACATCCCAAAGTTTGTGCATAAGTTAACTATTTTGAATTCTGTGTACTCATATGTGTGTGTGTGTGTGTGTGTGTGTGTGTGAGGTGCGTATTGAACGTACTGTTTGTCTAACTGTCTTTCAAGAAGTTGTAATTAAAAACTTTGCTTTTGGCGGCTGCCGTTTGGAATGCAGCTGTACCTGAAGCTGTGTAACGACTCACTTTCACAAGTGTTTTCTGGTGTGCATGACTTCATTTGGGTGTTATGACAACAAGGGCTGTCAACTGCTTGAAATCCATATATTTGTAGCCAATTAGGTTGAAAGTTTATTGGAATTCGAGTATATTTTCGAGTACATAACAGATTCATTTTTCAGACGAAGTTCCGTGGAAAGCATTTTATATCTTTCATACTCGTAAGAGGAAATTTATACATATTTTTTACATTTTGGAGTTTTACGTAAACATTTTAAAGGAAGTTGAACAACTCTTAATATCAGCTTTGTTCGTACTCTTTTCATAAATCCTTTTCCTGAGACTTGCCTTTAAATAATATTTGCTCAAATGTTGTGCAACCATTTTCAAGCACTTTGCATCTTCCACTCGAGAAAATGAGAAATACTTTTCTCTTTGTGCAGCCACTTATCGGGGGGCAAGCGGTTTTATCAGAGAGCTGTCGAAAACAAATGCTCAGGCGGCGAAGGTGGAATTTATTATATCTCAAATGGCACTTCATAAAACAAAAATCTCAGGTGGTTTTCCTGCTGTTCCAAAAACAAGCCCCTGATAAGCGACATATGGTAATAAAAGCACAAGTTTAATTTATATATATCACTCTACAAGTACGTTCTTGAGCTGGAAGTCTGTACAAAGGATCCCATTATAAATGAATGAATCGATCCGAATCCATTAAATAATAATTAGCTGTGGCCACATAAATACTCACATTGCGAGCAACTGAAATGTTTTATGGGGCACTTTGATGGCTATCAGCAAGCAATGGCAATAGTAGATAGCATGGAAAACTTTCGGGGGCAGCGCTTTTCTTTGGTTTATTCGGTTTATGACAGCCGAGTGCAATCAATTGTGCGGTAGTTGTCACAAACCCATAGCGATAAGCAGCACTCCAGTGGCTGTATTTTTAGATACCCCGCACATGTCGGTACATATAGTACACATGCATATGTACATGTGTACTTTCACTGATTGTGTGGGAGAGAGAATATCTAACACGTGCGTGCTGTGAAATTGCTTCAATTTGAAATGGCATTCAAAAAGCGGCACTCAGGACTGCCAAAAATTCGTGCAATTTGCAAATCAAAGCGAATCAAGCCAGCCAGGTCTGCCTCACAATTATTTGATTATGACATCCATCCAGTATCTGTGTGTGGGTTCTGTTCTCTATTAGATTTTGCGTGCCTCGGCAGATGCCACAATTTGCGAACCATTTGCTTAATAAGTTAAATAGATAATTGAGTTAAGATGCGTTCCCGTGGCGGATGCTCAGCTCAATCTTTCTCTCAAAATGTTACGCTCAAATCATCCATATAGCGTACGAGTATTATGTATCCGCATTAGAAACTCACAAATTGCTTACGAAAATGTTTGCTCTTTGTCCACAGGGGCAATTCCGCGACCGACACGCTACAGAATCTTTGTATATTCGTGGCTGGGCGCCAACAAATCACTTAATTATAACACGCTTTTTTTTGTATCATCCCACTGAAGCGGATAGAGAGTTAGGATGGGACTGCTGTTGGGTCCACACTCCGCTTAAATACGAGTTTAATGAATCGCCAGCACGCATACGAGTTGCCAGTACAATTGTGATACGAGTATTGTATAAACAAATAATTATTTGATTGCAGGTTTTGGTTAATCGAAAGCACAATGACTGATTTGGAGTCTACAAAAAACGGAAAACACCATGGTCTGGTGCACCACAACAAGTACGTATGTTTACTACATAGATATTACCAGTGCTAAATTCTTCCGCATTGCACAAAGGAGCCCAAAGTAAATGTAAGCCAAGTGTATGTCCAGTAAAACAGGTAAAGTACAAAGGCCCTGCGGCCGAATGAGCTGAGAGCAAACCAGTCGGTATCACAGCAGAAGCTTGAAAACTGGTTTCACCGCGGGCTAGCCACAAAAAAAAAAAACGACCAAGACTCCCCAGCAGCAATAATTCACTATTCGAAAGGGAAAGTAATGCCGCTAGCTACTCATTTGCATGGATCACAGACAGTCGGGCAGCTAGAGAGTTATCCAAGAATCCACAACGATTTCAGCTTAATTGTATTTTTTTCCGGACTTTTCAGCAATGATATCACGGAGAGCGAACCCCTTACATGGCGGTTCTGGCGCAAGCAACGCTACATTGTGGTGCTCTTGGCTTTCTTTGGCTTCTTCAATGTGTACTCGCTTCGGGTGAATCTCTCGGTGGCCATTGTGGCCATGACCGAGAACCGCACGGTTGTAGACGGCGATGGGAACGTGTCATATGAGCAGGACTTTCCCTGGGACTCGAAACAGAAGGGCCTTATTCTTAGCTCGTTCTTCTATGGTTACATTCTGACGCAGTTCTTGGGCGGCTACATTGGCACCAAGATTGGTGGCAACATTGTAAGTACTTAATAATTTTCCGACCTTAGTTCTAGGCTAATGATTATGCTTGATCTTGCAAGGTCTTTGGCACTGGCATTGGCAGTACTGCGATCCTCACACTGCTCACGCCGCTGGCTGCCAAGCACAGTTTGGAGATGTTCCTGGCAGTGCGCATCATTGAGGGCTTTTTCGAGGGCGTCACCTTCCCGGGCATTCATGCCGTGTGGGCCCGCTGGTCGCCGCCCCTGGAGCGATCGCGCATGGCCTCCATTGCTTTTGCGGGTAACTATGCGGGCACTGTGGTCGCGATGCCCTGTTCAGGGATACTGGCCACTCGTTGCGGCTGGGAGAGTGTGTTCTATGTGTTCGGCACTATCGGCCTTATCTGGTACATTGTCTGGCTGATTTTCGTGCGCGCTGGACCGGAGCAGGATCGGTTCTGTTCGAAGGAGGAGTGCGACTATATCCAGAAGACTATTGGCTATACAGGCAACAGGAACATCAAGCATCCATGGAAGTCGATCTTCACGTCGATGGCGTTCTATGCCATCATGGCTTCGCACTTCTCGGAGAACTGGGGCTTCTACACGCTGCTCACCCAATTGCCCAGCTTCCTAAAGGGTACGATTTGAAAATAATCCCATCCATTAGCTGCTAATGATACGATATCCTCTTTAGATACGCTCAACTTTGACCTGGGCAAGACGGGCCTTCTCTCGGCTGTCCCATACCTGGCCATGGGGATTCTCCTTGCCGTTTCCGGCTATCTGGCCGATTGGCTGCAGGTGAAGGGCATTTGGACGACAACTCAGGTGCGCCGCAACTTCAATTGCGGCGCCTTCCTGGCTCAGACCGTGTTCATGATGCTCACAGCATATCTCCTGGATCCCACCTGGTCGGTGGTGAGTCTCACTATTGCTGTGGGACTGGGTGCCTTTGCCTGGTCCGGCTTTGCGTAAGTATTTCAACGAGAATTTTCCTGAGTAGTGTTGATAATTTTATTGTTCTCTTCAAGGGTCAATCACTTGGACATTGCTCCGCAGCATGCCAGCATCCTGATGGGCATTGGCAACACGTTCGCAACTATTCCGGGAATTGTCAGTCCGCTGCTAACGGGCTACGTGGTTGTCGAACAGACCAGCGATGAGTGGCGTATAATCTTCTTTATTTCGGCGGGCATATATCTAATCGGCTGTGTCATCTACTGGTTCTACTGCTCCGGCGAGCTGCAGGAGTGGGCGAAGACGCCCGAGCAGAAGGCCCAGGAGGCCGAGGAGAAGGCGCAGCTGCAGTTAACGCAAACCGGAGGAGGGTTTGTCAACGCGGCTGCCGAGCTGAAGGACTAGTCCGACCGGCTCCAAGTGTTCCACTGAGTGAATGCTTTCAGTGTGGCATCTATATCCTACGCATTTAGAGAGCACCACATGAAGAATTTTGTGCCCAAGTATTTGTTCTTTGTTACGTTTGTGTGATGCTAGCAATGAGCGCCCCATTGTGCCCATATTTATGTATGTTAATCCATTTAGTGTTTCAGAGCACTCGCTGTGTCTGTGAGAGTGTTTGCGAATAAACGAAGCATTTTATTACAAGCGTTTTCCGCTATCTCTGTTCCGCCCCGTAGTAGGCTATATAGAAACCCATGTTGGATGTGTTTCCCTTGCCAGCCCAGAAGTATGCCAACAATTAAATTGTACTCGTAACATTTAACATTACATGTTAAGCCTTCAGGGTCTTTGAGTGGCACTTTGGTTACGCTCTTCATTTATTCATTTGATGTGTCAGAGTAGCGTTTCGTTATGCTCAACTTGCTTAATCCAAGAAGTATAAGAAGTATAGAAGTATAAGAAAAACCAGAAGGAAATGCCATCTACAGGTGCCAAGAGCTCGGTAATCAAAACATTAATATACATACCTAGCTGTAAATTCGAAAGATTTTATTTTAAAAAGGTATGCATTATTTATAGGGAACTATGTATATCGTAATTAGCTCTACTGGCCTCCTTCAAGGGGACTGTATTGCGTGTGAAGTGAGCGGCAGTTGGGTTCTCTGCATGTTCATATTTAACTTTTAAAGTTTGCAGCAAGAGAATATTTGAAACGGATATTTGTTAGGAAATGAATTTTCTACATACATATAGAGGGGATGAGAACATTCATATACGGCTGTTGATGCTAATTCATAAGAATGTATGTGTTTCTTCGTTCCATGGAAAACACGATTTAACAAAATATTTGATAAAAATTTTTAGTCTCATAGTTTCATTTTTAATAGAAAACAAAAAGTTATAAATTATTTTCGGGATATTTTAACATTGCTACTGATGAGCCACAGTTTCCTGATGACTCAAATATTCAGTTAATATGAAATCAGATCTCTTGCGAAGATTGGTACGCATGTAAATATCCCAAATATTATTTAAAAAAAGGGTAATTTCCCATAGAAAAACATCGTTATACAAGGAATTTTTTTTTATTCTTCTTGTATTCTCTGATAACATATGTATGTATATATTTATTAGCACCTTTTTTCGATGTGTGCTTTTGAGCTGACGCAACATCTACGTCTGATAGCTGATAAGCTGATAAGACAATAAAGAGCGAATGCGTGCGCAAAAAATTAGTTGGCCCATCGCTGGATATACGGAGCACCGTGTGCTGTAGGCCTGCTGCACACGAACTGATAAGACGGGTCGGAAAAGCAATTGCGTGTGGGTTCTGTGCAATTTTGCACTCAGTTCGGCTGTCTGAATCGGTATAAATAGGATTGGATCGTGGGAGATGGGTCATCAGTTGAGAAACTAACCAGAAAACGTCAAGTTGTGTTTGCTTAAACCAAGTCAAAATCAAAGATATCCTCAAAATGGTGTGCAAAGGATGCGGAACCAGTAAGTGATATGGAATAAATATTTAATTTATAATAATTAACACTCATTTCAAACTGTTAGACTGCCAGTGCTCGGCCCAGAGATGCGGAGACAACTGTTCCTGCAACAAGGACTGCAACTGTGTCTGCAAGACTGGACCCAAGAACCAATGCTGCAGCAAAAAATAAATCAATTGTAACTGGAGTTTAACTCCATCCAAGTTGTAACTAATAAAGTTTATAACAATTTTGTGCATTTAAAAGTTTTGGTATTTAACTTTGTTTCATTGGCATTTGCAGCTGGCAGATAATTTTCACCCGCTGCCGGTCAACGAAAATGGAATTATGCCAAAATAATATTCGTGGCCTGCAATTTCGGGTAAACAAACCGCAAAATAGAATTACAGGCAAATTAAAAACACGTCAAACGCATTGCGACAATTTGGCTAAAATTGCAAATATTTGTGCACAGCACACCTGAAAATCCATCCATCAATTACAATTTTCCAGCCAATTTGGATCGAATTCGAAATGAATATTCACATCGAAGCTTTGTTCAAGTGTTGCTTAAACTGCAAATAAATCCAAATAAAATGCACTCTCTCTCTGGCCTTTGTGCCGAAACATTATACAATAATGTTTCTGCCTTTAATCTCGGGCTGGAATCAGGTTCAATGTATATGCCAAATGCATTTTACTGTTAGCCAAATAACTCATCTTGTTCAGGCCATAAAATGTATATTTTCTGCTATTCACAGCAAATTCTCAAAGCCATAGATGAACAAGGACAAATTTGACTATTTTGTTGCTTTTAGCAAAACAAACTCGTGCAATCCAGCGGAGAACGAATATCTCCATCGTTAGCTTTTATTTTATGATCTGCCGTCGGAATTTATGTGTGTTTTACTCTAGTCAAATAATAATTTTCCTATTCGCATTTATTTATTTGACAGCATGCCCCATGCCCCCTTTTGTCACTCCCACTTTTTGTCCCACTCCCTGGATATTTTTGTAGAAATCTGTTTAGAGAGCGGAGTAGAGTTTGCCTGTGATATCGGGTTTCAGAACCAAATGACCAATTAAAATGGAAGCACTTGTGGCGCTCTGCTGGGCAATTTTGCGCCTTCCGCTTCCGGTGCTTGGGCTGTCAAAATATTTATGCAACAACAAAGGACGGAGTCATTAGCATACTCAAATGTGCGTGATTGAGGCGTTTCTCTTCTGCTTCTCCTCTCGTTGCGTGCCAGATTCATTTTGTTTCGTTTTGCTTTGCCATGGATGATGGTGCTGGGCAGGAAGTTAGTCGCAGTTTTTTGCCTAATCAGGTGTGAATAATGTGACACTTAAACGCTTAGTCATACTGTGCTTCGATCTGGACGTCAGACGTACGAAGTCACCTTAAAAATTTAGTCCTTAGTGCAAAGAAATCGTAACGGAAACACAGCATGGCGTCTCTCCAAGATTTGGAAGCTTTCGAGGCCGGGGCCAAACTTGTCCAAGGTGAGTGTGGATATGCCATCAAAGGTGTATGTATGTATATTCCTTCACCTATTCCCTTTCAGATGACGAGGAGGTACCTCCGCCCAGAGTCTCCGCCCACCGCATAGTGATGAGCGTGTTCATACTGATTCTGTTCAATCTGACCCTGATTGCGGCCATCATTGGCTTCTATTTGTATACCCAAACTAACTCTGGGAAGGACCAGCAGAAAGTTCTAAACGGGGTCTACTGTGTCGGAGCCATCGCTCTCTTCGTGGTTCTGTATCAGATGGGCGTAAGTAGAGAATTTCGGCCAATATATATCTGCGTCACCACTGACATGGGCTATGTCCAACAGGACCTGTCCAAGGACAATCCCAATTTCTATTATATTTAGGCCGATGCCGATTCCGTGGCACGTTCCCTTAACACAATCAACTCTATAAACCGTTTCTTTCTACCGCTATGGGGGCACTCTCCCTCACCTTGGGTCTCAACTAATTTAATTATAGCTTTCTTTTGAGCGGCGACATGAATTGTATTGCATTAAGTGGCAGTGTCACGCAAGTCCTCGCACACGGCATGCCAAATTCATAATTGATAAGTGCAAGAACCTACTACTCGAACTACTATTACCGTACAGAACACGTTTCTCAACTGACGTCAACTCAGGATGTCGCACAGTTTTCTGTCATTCCAAAATGCTACACTCACAAAATACAGAACCACAATTAAACCCCAACTTGAAACTCGTACAGTAGTTTTATTTTTTCCCCGTGTTTTAGCATTTATTTTTGTTTTCAAAAACCAAAATTGCTTAAGTGTGATAGTATAATATTGTTGCTCGATAAATCGAAATTTGATTAGTCATAGTCATATATTACTCTTGCGATGTCGGCCAGACGTACTGTTTTGTTGTCCTACGACAAGCGTAATGTGGCACGCTGGTACTTCGGAGGCGTGGCCAGCTCGATGGCCGCCATGGTCACGCACCCCCTCGACCTGATGAAGGTTCTGATGCAGACGCAAGCGGAGAAGCTGTCCGTGGGGTCCACCTTCAAGAAGATAGTGCGCGAGCAGGGCGTGCTGGCCCTTTACAATGGCATTTCTGCCTCGCTGTTGCGCCAGTACACCTACACCCTGGCTCGCTTCGGTATCTACCAAATGGGCAGCGGAATAATGGACACGAGCACGATGGCGCGAAAGACTTTCTTGGCAGCCGTCGCCGGTGGTATAGGAGGCTTCGTGGGAGCCCCTGCGGATCTGGTCAACGTTCGACTCCAGAACGACGTGAAGCTGCCGCCGGAACAGAGACGCAAGTAAGAGTATATTACCGATCCCAAGGGCCTTACACCGACACCCACCCCGTGCCATTGCAGCTACAAACAGGCCATTGACGGTCTGATCCGCATCACTAGGGAGGAGGGATGGCGCAGCATGTTCAATGGCGCCAGCATGACGGCCCTGCGAGGCATGCTCATGACCGTGGGCCAAATCGCCTTCTATGAACAGAGCAAGGATGTGCTGGTGGGTCTGGGAATGCCGCAGAGCACATCCACGTACATCACGGCCTCCCTCATATCGGCAGCAGCTGCCACCACTCTCACCCAGCCCATCGATGTGGTGAAGACGCGTCGCATGAACGCCCGGCCCGGGGAGTACTCCGGTCTCACGGACATCTTCGTGAAGACAACGCTGGAGGGTCCAATGGCCTTCTTCAAGGGCTACACACCGGCCTTTGCCCGCCTCATGCCGCACACGGTGCTGCTCTTCTTGACGCTCGAGTTCCTGCGCATTAATTTTGGCTATCTGCCCGAACCGAAACCGTCTACCACACCGCCGGCCAAGTAAAATTGAAAACTAATCATGTAATTTAATGAACGAAATTTTGCCGTGATTGTGTGTGTATTGTGCAAATACGAATCAAATTCTCAGTATGTTTGCATGTTTGTAAATGAAATTACATTCTGAATTTGCAATTTACATTTTCTTTGGTGGAACTTTTTCGTTATTTTTCGTTCCATTTCGATTTTACCCAGTCAGCAGTCGGCTTACCATTTTATTTGGCCTGCCATATTCAATGAATGCTTTATGAGGTGGCGGCCATTACCCATATGAATGTTTTAATGTGCTTTAAACCTAATGAGTCTGTGTGATGTGGCTATGGCATCTCGCATTTTACCCGAGAAATCATAATGCGAGCACTCAGCACCTGGCAGTCGTATGTCTGATGTCGTGTAATCGCATTAAAGCCATTAACTGACTCGGCTGCAGACTAGGGGAAGCAGGAAAGCGTAGAGTAAAGAGGATGTGTGAGCCAAAGAGCAAATGACAATATAGAGAGCCAAGTTCCGTTTACATGAAAAAACAATCATACGCCCCGTGTGTTGGCATAGATGAGAATGGCGTAACACGGTCAGCTTGTTATGGAATGATGTGGGTAGTTTTCTCCTTGAGTTCCCCATCTCATCCCGATGTCATTGTCTTTTATCGATGCCATTGTGAGCTGCCATTCAACTGTTTAGCTGCCCATGCAATATTGATACTGGCCAATGGGTTTCCAATGTCCTAAACCGCGTTTAAGCTCAACAAAAAAAAAAATTAAAAGCAGGGGTGGTCTTACCTCTGAAGCTCATTTTATCCATTTGGCCGTGACCATTTGTGTTCAGAAGTTAATTACGTTTAATGTGCATTAAAGATTAATGAAACCCAAAATGTTCTCAGAATCGACTTACTCATCTGAGTCTCCCATGTAAATTATAATAAATAATTATGAGAAAGAATTTAATTTCTCCGAGCAATGAACACAAAGAGCGTATCCAATAAAGCAATAAAGCAAATAAATATTTCAGTTGACCTTGGCATTTAAAAATTGAAGCCGAACAAACTGTATCAAATTGAAGAATGGATATTAGGGTACATCCAAGTTTTAGTGTAAATTTCAAGGCAAATCTAAGTGCTTTCTTTTGCACATACTATCCCAAAATTCCTTGCGAATTTAATATTGAATTCAATTCGATGGAACTATTATGAACAGACAGCTATTTGCTGTCATAATAGGCAAACAACGAATTCCGAAATTGTACAACGGCTGATTCTGCTCAGAGTCTTTTATAATTCCGATGAAGTCTTTGGTTTGTTAATTACTTTTGTCTTATGCAAGACTCAGATACGTCCACATATTAAACCACTTCAACAATTTCCACTTTATGCTGTTGAAAATGCGAGTGCTTCCGTCAGTTGAGTGGAAAACTTTATGACAATGCTTTGATGTGATGCCGAGGCTCAAGTACATAATAAAACTGCCATTTGGTTGCGCAAAATTTATGCAAATTTCTCATGTGCCGCCGCAGCATCAGGCAGCATCAACGAGCAGCAGAGCACGGCATTAGCAGCAAACAACATGCTGAAAACAAGGCCAACAACCAGTACATAAACATCAGCAGGAATAACGACCACAACGACAAATGCATAAATCAGTTTTAATGCAAATTTCGTTACATTCCGTGCTGCCGTCTCAATAAGCAGCCATTAATATGCTGCGCCTGCTGCATAAATTGTGCGATTTTTGCGGTTTTGCTTAATTATACGCATTGTCGCAAGGACATCGTCCAATCCTGCCCCTGCATAATTATTCATGCGATGGTCAAGGACAATGTGGCCACAGCCCCAGCACGAGCGGGAGCAACAGCGCCAGGACAACGACAGCTACCAGTTGCCGCACATTTGCGGTCCACATTTTGCGTTGGAGGTTGTGTTGAAATAACTCCCATATTTATGACAGAATTGAGTCCGCAGCGAGACAGCATAAGGCATTCGCAATTGCCGGTCATTTAAATGCAGGCCAATAAATTCAAGCACACTTTTGAAGTGGCGCTTTGTCTTGGGGCGCTCATTTTGCCAGAGACCCGCCGACTCCGACTCCGACCTCTGACCCGACCCACCCTAGCATTATCCGCTTTATGCACGGAAGTCCATTTATATTGCCGTCGTTTCAGAGTCCGGATTGCGGTGTCCGGCGGAGACACACAAATAAAGTAGCACACCGGAGCCACAATGGAGTTGGACTGAGCACGCAGAACTGTTAAATACCTTCGTGTCCGGCTCCATTTCCCCCTATACAGTAGAAGATGCAGGGCTGCAATAAACTTCTAAATCAGTCGATTAAACTGCGATCTGCGAATGCCTCTAAAAGCACTCGATATATACTCGTTTGCTCCTATGTAGTCCTTACACGAGTATGTGGGGGAGGCTATGTATAAAAAGTTTCTGAAAAATGTTGAGCAATTAAAAGAAGTAGCGCGAAGTAGCTCTGGGAAGAAGGCGTTGCCTTTGTGTGGGTTGGGGGCTGGTTCTGCTATCTTTTGTGTGGATTTTGCCGGCAGCAAAGTACGCAGCGTGGCTAAGTGTGTAATGAAGTGAGAGGTTGAGGCAGAGGTAGCTTAAATACATGGGATTATGAAGCCCAGATAACCCACATAACCATGCAAGAATTTAGTAATAGAAAAGGGGATTTCACCTGCTATTTTAAGGTAATTACTTTCTCAATATTTCATCGCAAAACCTTATTATATATTGTACAAAGGACAATATTTTGATCGGATTTTTGCAAAGAACATGGAATGTTTCCAACTCGCTTCTGGCTGTGCATATCTTTGCGTCTTTTGGCTGCATATAACATATGCCAGAGTCTTGAAGTTACTACACCATATATTTGTATAAGAATTGGAAAGACTTCATCAAAAAGATACCATGGAACGATGCTTTTGTTAGGTCATCCAAAACTTCGGCCCACAAAACCAAACTTTCTTCTACTTCGATTCTAAATTCTACAGACATTGAAAGCACCTAAGCATCTGTATATCTTGTATTTCTTGGCATATTTGAATGCTGCACGCACACAGCCCGGCCCAGCGGAAAACATGACAGTTTATCTTTATAATTAGATCTCATCGACTGTATCTGTATCTGGCAGCTCGCACTCAGTTGTTTGCCAAAGTAGTTTACAATGGCAGCAGTCACTGCTCTTTCCGTTGTGATTGCCATGGGGTCATGCTGGCTGGCTACACGTACAAGTCACCGACACCGGCGAAAGACTGAACCCATAACCGAACCCAGGCCCGGGGACCAAATGCTAGAAACCGAACTGCGCGAATCGTGAAACTTGGCTCATTAAAGATTAAGACGCATTAACACAAATGGTGTGGGGAGGCGAGCAATTTAAGCGCCATCAGCATGAATATTTATGTAAATTGGGATTACAAGTATTTTGTTGGTATTTTGTTAGGACAACACATCCTTGAAAGTTTTTGGCCATGTGACTAGGACAGGTTTTTCATTCCCGCAAATTTATATTTGATTCGAATTTAACACGCACATTTCGACTACTTAAAGTTCTCTTAAAGTAAAGTTCTCTGCAAAAGTGACCTTGCAGCTGAGCTGCTGCATCTTTGAGCTTGCTCTTTTTCCAGTTTCCTTCTGGTTGAAGCTGCAGATGCTTTTTGTTTCGACATGGTGAATTTTACATTTTCTGCACTCAAGGTTGCACATTTCACAGAACTGAAAAAAATGTACGAAAATTCATCCGAAATAAATGCATGCGGTATAATTTATGCTGCCACGAAGCAAACCAACTCCCAGCTTATATTCATAAAATGGAACGAGGTACGGTACCGTTGTGTTGAACAGCCAAGGACGCTGGGATTTAGATGAATGAAATGCATAAAGATACCACTGCTGAACTGAAACCGAGGTCATCTGTCGGGCCATAAAAAGGAGCGATTTCTGTGCCATTTTCGGGGCAACTATCCCTTTTAGCATTCAGATTGGCCCGCTTATCGCAGCTCATCAATATGCATTAAGTTACAATGATAGAACTTGGCAGATGCTTTGATGTCTGTCAAATGCTTATTGGCTACATTGTTGCCTAATGCAATTAGCCGCATTTATGCGCAATTTCGGTTGTGGCCCCGGCACTCCCTAGGTCGCAGGTCGTACACATAGCCACACATAGTCGGCATAGTCGACATAGCAAACATGCCAATTTCGTAGCTGCTTGTTCTTGAAATTTCATTACTTTGTGTAAACAAAGTGCACGTGCCCGATGCGGTATCTCCGCTAGCTCCTCCGTGCTCTGTCAGTGGTCCCAGCTCTCAGAGAGATGTGGTTTTGGCGCATGCGCGGATAAACCGGAAAGAGAATCCATAAGACCCAGCATTAAATCATTTTCCCCTTTCCTGTGCTTCATTCAATTATCAAAAATAATTTAAAATAATTTTATGAGCAGAAACAACACACACACACACACACTTTCAAAGACTTATATATCCCGTCTGGTCACGTCCTAATCAGCAAAAGGTTTCTCCTAGTTGCGGTTATAAAGTCGGCTACGTGACTCGCATTTCCAATGATCCCCCAACAGCGTTCACATAAATACAAAAATTTCTAATTTATGTAGTTTACGTTTAGGATTTATTGCGCCTACTATTTTGGTGTTGTATATCGTTTTATCTGTGAATGTGAACTGAAAAGAAATTGATATGGATGGCTCTTTAAGCCTTTTTCGGTTTGTGTATGTTTGCGCTTGGCTGGCGTGGCGTATGAGCAATGTGCTGAAACTGCTTTTAATACGTGTGTGCCAATTTAGCGCTCCCCTGGAGTGGCGCTTCAGTCGAGTGCATTTGGAGAGTGCTGCCAGTAGCCAGGAGCTTGGAGCCTAGAGCCTGCCTGAAGAATCACCCAGCTGCGAGCAATTGAAGCACGCTTTCCATCAGTTAATTAAGCAAATTACGCCTGCTAATGGCAGCAGTCGAGTAGTCGGTCGCTTTTTCAGCGACCTTGACACTTTCCCTGGGAGTCGCAATGGATCTCTAAGGAGCACTAAAGATGCGACATGTGCTGGCCTCAGAGCAAGGCGTGTCTTTACACCGAAACGCCC